GCACTGTGGTGCAGATGTTTAAGCTGACACCTGTGACACTTGTCTCCCATATTCCAGTTCAAGCCTCAGCTTCTCCATTTCTGATCTAGCTCCCTGCTAGTGCACCTGGGAGGCAGCAGACGATGGTTCAACTACTTGGGTCCCTGTCACCCATGTGGGAGACCAAGATGGAGTTCCAGGCTCCTGGCTTCAGCCTGGCCTAGCCCCAGCCTTTGGGGCCATGGTGAACCAACAGATGGAAAAGCTGATCTCTCTTCCTCTCCTTCTCTCCCCCACACTGCATTTTAAATAAATAAATTTTAAAGTAAACTTTATGTCAACTAATATGGAAAAAATAAGTATACAATTATGGTTTCCACAAAAAGTAGGGATGATAACTTTTGTGTCAGTAAAAATGCTATTGACATTGATAGCCATTTTAAGTGTATATTTATATGTGTATATTTCTTTTAGGTATGTGAGAATCTTTACTTTTTTCCAGATGCCTACTTCAACTTTAGGGAGAGATCCCAGGAGTCACAGAGGTTGCAAAAGGGGGAAATTATTACAATTTAAAAATATTTGAGCCCTTCTACACTAGCCCTATTTTTGCTGGTACACACACTATTCTATTTTGAACAATAAATAAGAGATCTCTAAAGAGGACACTGTTCATGTCCGACACGTGCAGCGGTCATCAGAGATCAGACCCCAGGTGAAGCCGGGAAGCCCTAAGAAGCAGACAACAAAGAAGCAAGGAACTCAAAGGATCCCCCAGGCAAGCCAGAGCGGTCTGGAAAGCAGGTTCAATACAGAGTCCACACGCAGGCCCTCCAAGAGCTACTCAGCTTTGTTGTCTCTCGTGGAACGCCATGAAATTTCCTCCCGTGTTCTCTTAAGAAACTCCTCTATTCAGCCGCTGAGTTCTCACCAGCTGGTTTTAGCTCCTTAACGATCCCAAGTGGGCCTGGCCCGAACCCTGGCTGAATTCCCTTAGTCCCTAGTGGAGATATGTGCAGACTTACCTTGTTGAAAGTGAAGCCGTCTGTGGCATGTGCCCTGTGAACTCCTGTGGTTAGTCAAGCCTAGCGAGGATGATTTAAATAGAAACCTGTCCGGCAACATTTTATACTTGAAATAAAATTGATAATGAAGATTTCCATTTCTGAGTGTGCCACTCAGAATAGTTTTTCTAGATGTTGTGTTAGAGGTGAATAAAAAATCATATAAAGAGAAGCTGGTGCTGTGGCATAGTGGGTAAAGCCTGCACTGCAGGCCCATATGGGTGCTGGTTGGAGACTCAGCTGCTCCACTTCCAATCCAGCTCCCTACTAATGCACCTGGGAAAGCAACAGAAGATGGCCCAAGTCCTTGGGCCCCTGCACCCGAATGGGAGACCCGGAAGCTCTTGGCTCCAGAATTCAGATCGGCACAGCTCCAGCTGTTGCTGCCATTTGGGGAATGAACCAATGGATGGAAGACCTCTCTCTCTCTCTCTCTCTTCCTCTCCCTCTGCCTCTCTGTAACTCTGCCCTTCAAATAAGTAAATCTTAAAAAAAAATCATTGAAAGATACATTCAAACTGAATGATAGCTTTAGAAAGAAATCATAAAGCAGTGAAAATTTATACAAATAAATGCCCAGATACATAAAATAAGAAAACTTGTACAAGTATGAACAAAGTAGAGAACTCTAATATATAAAGGAGCACACAATATGATAGTTAAGACGGAAGAGTAGTAAGTGGCTTTGCCCCAAAAACCTATGTGCACACACCCACATCAGCCTATTCAGGTACAGCCCAATAGTCACCTCCAGTAGGGGTTTACCTACTAGAGCAAACCTTCTCCTTACGGGTCTACTGATCACGTATTCCGTACTAGCAGTTACCACATGGCTTGACGTTTATTCATTCATTCATTCATTGGCCTTTTCCACCAATGAGTTATTTGAGATCAAAGGCCAAGACTGAGTAACTTTTTTTGCTCCATAGGCAAATATCAATTATATAAGTACAAGAATAAAAATCAGAGCTTTAAAAACCAATGACGTTTTTAAAATTTAATTTGAGAGATGGAGTGTGCTCCCATCTGATGGTCAATTCCCAAATGTTTAGAATGGCCCCTGGCCACAGCTGCAGCTGGGAACCAGGAACTCAATCCAGGTCTCCCACATGGATGGCAGGAACCCAACTACTTGAGCCATCATTACTGCCTATCAGAGTATACATTAGCAGAAGGCTAGGATCAGGAGCCAGAGTTGGGTAACAAACCCAGGTACTGTTGTGGGAAGCTGGTGCCTTAATCAACATCTTAACTATTTAGCCAAATGCCTGCCCTTGACAGACTTTTTAAATTTAAAAACAAAGTAGGTCTCTATAGAACACTAAAGGAGAAGAAGGAAATAAAAGAAGAAAATTATCACAACACTTAGAATATTCTACCATCCAAATATACTAACTCCTAACTGTAAACATCTCTGCAGACACACACACACACACACACACACACACACAATGTATAGCTATGTTGGCATATTCCGCAAGGTAGAAGATCCAGTTTTTAACCCAATTACCCCATTAATTCCTTTCTTTTTGTTATTTTAAAAAATTATCTACTTGAAAGGTAGAGAGAGAGACAGAGAGACAGAGGTTGATTTTCCATCTGCTGGTTCACTCTTCAAATGGCTGCAAAAGCCAAAGCTGGGCCACTCTGAAGTCAGGAGCCAGAAATTCTATCCTGGTCTCTCAACATGGGAGGCAGTGGCCCAAGCACTTGGGCCATCTTCTGTTGCCTTCCCAGGCCATTAGCAGGAAGCTGGATCAGAATAGGAGTAACCGGGACTTGAAACAGTACTCTGGATACAGGATGCTGGCATTCCAAATTGCAGTTTAACCTACTGCACCACAACGTTAACCCCTCTTTTAAGAGCTTCCATCAGTCATGAAACATGACACACTTGCTCAATCCTTGTCCTCGTCGTCTACAGTATTAGCCATTGATCACCACTGCCATCTTTCTACAACACTCTCTCCTCTTTGTTTCCTCTACATCTTACTTTTATGGTTTCTATGTCTCATCACTTCCTGTGCCAACTTCCATTCTCCACATAAAGATGGACATTCAACCAAAGTCCTGCTGTAAGTCCTCCACTTGCCTTCCAAGTGTCTGATCTACACCAAAGCTTTTAAGCTATCTGTCTTGGCTGGTGCCGGTGACTCCCTCTCTGCAACTCTATTTCCTCTACTAAGGTTCTAGCCCAGTACAGCTGTGGTTTTGTTTTCCAAGGTTTCAGTTACCTGTGGTCAACTGCAATCCAAAAGCATTAAATTTAGTAACAAACTTATTCCACAATAAGCAATTCCTAAGTTTTAAATTGCATGCCATTCTGAGTAGTGTAATAAAATCCCCCACCATTATGCTCCATCCCTCCTGGAAAGTGAATCATCCTTTTGTCCTGCACAGCCATTCTATACTCACTACCAGCCCAACATCACTTCCAGCCATCTCACATATGAGATTGACTATTGCACTATCAACAAGGCTCATGCTCAAGTAAGCCTTTCATAGCAGCCTAACACCACATCACAATGTCTATACCATTGACCTTGCCCTCTCTCTCATGCAGGCTTTCTACCTGTAGGTGAGGGTGTGGGGAGAATGGTCAGGGTTCAAACCATGCCACCTGCAAACCAGAAGCAAGGATTCCTCCACGTTGCCTAGGCAGCTTGCTCAACTTTGTGCACAGCACTGCACCTGTCAGGAACACAGGGCTCAGCACGCTGTCACTCAGCCAGGAGAGCAGCTCGGAGCCCCAGGGCCCCGTAAGCTCACAGAGCAGGCAGGGAAAGATAAGTGGGCATGGCACTGAGCATTTTTTAAAAAGACTTATTAGAAACTCAGATCAAAGTTATCATCTTCATGGGCTGGTGATAATGCCATTTGTCAGTTTGGCTTCTTTCTCAATATAGCTTCTGTAGATGAAGGCTCCATTTTGCTACTGAAATGTAGATTTCATTAATAGAAATAACCAAACTTTCCAAAAGCCATGAATAACTTGAACAGCGCCCCTGGAAAGAATACATTCTGGAAGCTGCTTCTGCAAGGGTAGGCAACCCAGCCCGGGGCCTTAGAAGGTGGGGGAAATCACTGGGTCTGGCCCAGCCAAGGCAATTGAAGGATGGACTTGAAAAGCCATCAACCTGCAGCCGGCTACTGTTGAAAGCCAAAGCGTGACGTCATAAATATAAAATGGCCCTTTCCCACCCCCGGTAGAGAAACTACTCCAAGGTAATGCCATCTTGGGCTCTATCATAAAGCCAAACAGAAAACAAGCTGGCTTGACCATGGAACGCCACATAGGATGGGAAGGAGAGCTTTCAAATACACAAGATTTCTCAATTCCCTCAAGTTCCAGGTTCCCTCACAACTACGGAGTTAATCAATGAACTCCCCTGGTGCGTGGACATTAAGTTCTGTCAACTCCACTCGAAAAACTCATTCATGACCCAAGCACCTTTTATCACTATCCTCCTCCCAGGGCTACCACAAGCCACCAATGGGCCTTTTTGGGGAAATTAGAGGAAGGCGCTGGAGCTGGCCCTCGGCACCCCTCTGCACCGCAGCCCAGCCGGCCGCCTGGTAGCCCATCGGGTCTGCCCCTGGCCCAAACGCAGCCTCTGTGTTCGGCTCCAGCGTCTGTCCTTGTTCCCGGCCCCACAGGCTACTCGCCGCAGCCCCACTAAAAGGCCCCTTCAGGAAGCTCTGTTAAATGCATAGCACGCGCAGAGTGAGGTCCAGCATCCCCTGCTGTAAGCCACGAGGCCCTGCAGCCCCGGCTGCCATACCAGCTCCTCTCCGACCTCCCCCTCACGCCGCCATGGTGGCCCCTCTTCCCAGTTCACCCAGCGGATTCCAACCCTCACAGTGCCCTCGGCCTGGGGCAGATCCTGACTCCATTCCCTCCAGGGCCCCATAGCAACCTCCTTCTCCGCATTTAGGCGTCTGCTCATGTAGTTCTACCTCCAAGGAAACTTCTGGTGGAGGGATCCGGATCCAGCTAGGATTTCCATCCGGAGGGAGAGGGAACAGCGTGGTGGTGCAGGGGGCTAAGCTGCCCTGGCGGCACCAGCATCCTATATGGGAATGCTCAGCTAGTCCTGGCTACTCTGCTTGTGATCCAGCTCCCTGCTAATGCTCCTGGGAGGAAGCATCAAGTCTTCCATGTGGGAGACCTCTATGGAGTTCCAGGCTCCTGGCCCTGCCCTGGCTGTTCCAGGCATTTGGGGAGTGAGCCAGTAGAAGGAAGTTCTCTTTCTCTAGCTCTGCCTTTTAAATAAATAAATAGATAGATCTTTAAAAAAAAATTAAGGTTAGGGCCCACAGATTTCTAGGGCTGAGGAGGAAGACTGCAGCCAGAGTGGGGAAGTCAGACTCCGGAACCGCCGGGAGCCAGGGGCGGGACTTCCTGTGGAGCTTGTGGGTGGGGTGGGTACTGCCGGACCCCAGCCAAGCAGGGAGCCAATGAAGCCAGGAAAATCCCACGATCCTAACAGAAGGGCTCCCTCCTCCGCGGGGAAGACGATTAAAGAACCAGGCCCAGCTGCTGCTGAAAGGGCTCATAGCCACGCAGCCAGGGTAATTCCAGAACAAGAAAAATGAGGGATTTCTTCCCTAGCGGCGTGGAACCTGCGCTGAGCTGGAAGCCAGAAGACCTGGGATTCAGTGGCAGGCTTGTATTTCTGTGATCCTGGCCAGTTTTCCAAGTCTCTTTGTGACGGGGTTTCCTCATCTGAAAAGTGAGGAGGTTGAGCTAATCACAGGTTTTCCAAAGTTCGCCCCCAGGCACCCTCACTGTGCTTATTCAAACCCAGAACTGCTGACCCCGAACCTCCAGGGCAGAGACCCAGGTGGATCCTCAAGTTTCCTTCTACCACTTTCTATGAATTTCAAATCTTAAACATATACAAATATTGAGAGAGAAAAGAACCGTAACATAATGGGATATATCGAATACCATTCAAACTGTCATGTTACCAGATTGCCCAATCAGTCATATGTTGCAGTCACTAAGGAACAATATATGCCCATAGCTATGACAAATGATTAACTACATGATCAGATTTTTCACTTCCTCACCAAAGCATAGGGAAATCTCAGCTTTAGCTGCCTTAAATCTTCCTGAGTGAAACACATTAAAAAAAAAAAAAACCAACTGCAATTTGCTGATGACTAATGCCCTTGAATTTGGCCTCAAGCTGAGAAATTCTGTGCAGAAATAAAGTGGTTTATAATCCCATGGCTCCGTTCTATTATGAACTGCAGGTGGCAAATCAAGTGGCTATGAAGTGTTTTGTGTGTGTGTGTGTGTGTGTGAGAGAGAGAGAGAGAGAGAGAGAGAGGGAGAGAGAGAGAGAGAATCAGTACCCAAGAAAGATATTTCTCCTGTTCTTTTCATGGGAATTTAACAACTCAGACAGAAGGCAGATGCTCACTGGGAAATCCCAGGAATCCGAGTGATGCCTGACAGGAGCCGGAGGCGTGAGTGGCCGTCACCCCCTTTGCCTGCCCAGCAGGCAGGGCAGAGCACCTGCCCTTTGCAGAAAAGCAATCTAAAGCAAGCACAGGAGGAAGCTGGAAAGAAAATAACCGCAACTCACATCGATGACCTATTTTCTGAATCCGGCTTATGTGAGATTGGATTTTCATTCCTCCAAAAAAACAGCAGAACACTTCAGGCCCAGAAAGTGGTGTCTTGGAGGAGAGCACTGACCAGAATGTATGACACATCGTCACCAAAGGACTTGCATCTGGCCAAGGTCCCAAGGGGTACTAACCTCCCACAGCTGTCGTGGGACGGGCTGATAAATGGCCCAATCCCTGGTGGCTTTGCCCTGCTCTTAGCCAAGATTAACAATGATGCTAATTGGTAATGAGTGAGCCTGATCTACTTAGTGTGTCCTCCCGGCACAGGCAGCAGAGCTGTGTATGTGCCCTTTCCGTTTCGGATCTGCCCACCTCTTCTCCTCAAAGCAGCTACTGTCATCAGATCCATTTTCCTGAGCTGCAGAGGCACTGGGGAAAATGCTGTCAGTTTCTGATCTGAATTCCTAAGGAACGAAAAACCCCTGTTCGACAGCATTCAGCAGTACACCCCGGGTTAAGAGGAGAGCGCAGGAAGCAAGGAACAAGAAGCAAGAGCCAGCTTGTTTCCAGGGAGCTGCTTTTCTGGCTGGCCGGCATGGCACAAAGGCCATGAGAAACAGCTGAAGACCGGAGCAGTGTTATGGTTCAAATTAGGCCAGCGCCACCTGTGACACTGGCTTCCCCTATGGGCGCCAGTTTGAGTCCTGGCTGCTCCACTTCCAATCCAGCTCCCTGCAATTGTGCCTGGGAAAGCAGCAGAAGATGGCAGAAGTGCTTGGGCCCCTGCACCCACCTGGGAGACCTGGATGGTGCTCCAGGCTCCGGGCTTTGGCTTGGCCCTGCCCTAGCTATTGTGGGCATTTGAAGAGTAAACCGGCAGATAAAGGTCTTTCTCTCCCTCACCTTCTCTCTCTCTGAATCTTGGGGGGCGGGGGGAGGAAATTGATGACTACAAGACAGCTGGTAGAAAAAGCCGAACAACTCTGGACTCACTGGATCCATGACTTCTGAGGAAGAGTCTGTTCTACCCAGCAACAAGACACCACTGGAAATGAGGCCAGGAACAGTTAAATTTATGAACAAATTTGAAGGAAAAAGTAAAAAGAAGGAAAATCCAGAGATAAGAAACAGGACACAGAGCATGCAGAAAATTGAATGTGACGTAGGGAATAAAAATCTTAACTTCCACTGGACAGCAATGTCCTCTTGGGTCACCATTTACTGTCAAAAAAAATATTAAGAATGGGGATAATGTGTCCCACGTCCCTGCACTCCCTACAGTGTCTGCACATAACGGATGCTCCTATGTTAGTTCACAGAATCCCGAATCGTGTAGGTAGACTGAACTTACTGGCCATCCCATCTATTTGCTCAGTGAATCAACTGAAGAATAAGTGGATAGGATTGGAAAAACAAACAAACAAACAAAAAAAAACAGCCTAGTTCCAGTAGAAGAATCACAGAAATAATCAAGAAATCAAGTTGGCAGAGCGCTCAGGCATCCTGCAAGGTTGAAGTTTTGTCTGAGAGGTAATAGGGAGCCGCACCAGGTTCTTTGGAAAGAAAGTGTCTTTGAGGAAGATCGCTTTGGTGGTTCTTGGCAGGAGGGAGCAAAACAGGAAAGCCAGCAGAGCCCCACTTCCACAAGCAGCTAAAGGCCGAATGTCTTTGACAGCCGAAAGATTAGCAGCCACCCTAGCAAAGGAGAATCGGCTAAACCACCTTTGCCAGTGATTCGTTTTCCCTCCCCACCTCCCCACACCCACCCTAATCCTGATAGTTCTGATGAGCTCAAAACGGACAGGCTCCTGCAAATGGCTGTGAATCTCATCAGTTGCTGACAAATGTTTGCATATGAGAAATGAGATGTAGTCATGCCCAGAGTGAAGGCTGCTGCAACCGCTGTTTGCATAATTTCTCTTCTATAACAGGCTTCAAAAATAATAGGCAGGCTAGATAGGAGCTATTAATTTTAAGTTGGCTTGAGCTACTGGCCTTAATGGAGGTAACTACTAAAGCACCATAAAGACTGTAAGCCCATGAATCATGCAGTATATTATTTATTCCCTCCTGTGGCACTGAATTCGTGTTACTTTCAGATCATCAACTTATCCTCAGATATCCACTGTGTTCTAGAATATACTGGTGAAGTTTGAAGGTAGTTTTTTAGAAAGTTCATCTAAGATGGGGCAGGCACTTGGTGCAATGGCTTAAGTTGCCACTTGGGACACTTGCGTCCCACATCAGAGTGCCTGCTTTGAGTCCCAGTTACTCCACTTCCGATTCAGCTTCCTGCTAAAGTGCATCCTGGGAGGCAGCAACTGATGGCTCAAGTGCTGGAGTCCCTCTCACACACACAGAAAACCAGATGGAATTCTGGGCTCCTGGCTTTGGCCTGGCCCAATCCTGGCCATTGCAGGCACTTGGGGAGTGAACTAGCAACTAGATTTCTCTCTGTTCATTCTGTTTCTCTCTTCCACTACCTTTCAGATAGAATGAAAATAAAAACATAGGTACAAAAAAAAGTTCATCTGAGTGGCAGAAAAAAATGATACGTGGTAGCAAGAAGACACGAGCGCACGCACACACACACACACACACACACAATCAGAAATGACTCAACTCAGAGGCAGAAGAATGTGCTGCAACCACAATTTAGTCAGCAACACAAGAACAAGGACTACAGTTACTAGGCCCACCGATATGTACCCCATAGGCCTGGCATGTGACTATGTAAGGTTGAAAGAAATAACCAACTGGATGAATGAGTGAATAAATGAATGACTAAGATTTTTACAGAACAAAGGCAATTGATGGATAAGATCAGTTTTTCCAGAGAGCTAGAAATAGCAATAATTCCATCAGCATGTTATTTGCTAAACACACATGCCCACAGGTATACACCATCGTACACACACATCTCAGAAGGCAAGTACATCCCAAAGAAAAGACTTTATTAAAAAATTATTTATTTGAAAGAGTTACAGAAAGAGAGAGGGAGGGACAGAGAGATCCTCCATCCCCTGGTTTACTCCCTATATGGCCACAGTGGCCAGGGCTGGGCCAGGTCGAAGCCAGGAGCCAAGAGTTTCTTCCAGGTCTCCCATGTGGGTAACAAGGGCCCCAGTACTTGAACCATCTTCCACTGCTTTTCCCAGCTATTAGCTGGAAGATGGATCAGAAGTGTAGCAATTGGGACATGAACCAGCGCCCATGGCAGGTGGCAGCTTTACCCACTACGCCACCACACCAGCCCCAAGGAAAGACTTTATTACAGCAAAAACACTTCAAAACTAACCAAGCGTTTTATAACATTTTAGATGAATTACTATGGGTTAATATTGTAGACTTCTTCATCCATTTGTGGAGTGCTAGGTACTATACTTGGTGACTAAAGAATTGCAAAGGAAGGGAAAAAAGAGCTAACTTTTAGGTTTCTTCCCCTTGCATAATTTTGCAAAGAACATCCTATTAAATTTTACTCCAAACAGATGCATTTTCAGCAGGAGCAAATAATCCATTTTCTGCTCTATTTTAATATCTACATTTTCCATTTCATGGATTTTTCCCCCTCAATTCCAAATGGCATTTTAAGGCAGATGAGAATTTAACCAAAGTCATCAGCAGGTAACATTTTTTTAAAATAAATCTTAAGGGTAGAAAGAGGATCTCTGGCTTTTACGTTTCCTCTGAATGGAATAGCCATTGAAAAACAGGGTAAATGATGTGTCCAATATGAAATTTTAAAAATCTGTGGAGCTGGAGTTTATTAGTTTCATCACATGCAC